GGAAACTCTGCAAACAAGCAGCAATATATAGAGAACTCAATCTCTCATAAAACAGTTCATATTGACAAATCTCTATGAACTAATAGCAATACGTATGACACTCAGTCCATGAGGAAACTCTGCAAACAAGCAGCAATATATAGAGAACTCAATCTCTCATAAAACAGTTCATATTGACAAATCTCTATGAACTAATAGCAATACGTATGACACTGAGTCCATGAGAAAACTCTGCAAACAAGTAGCAATATATAGAGAACTCCATCTCACAGAAAAAATTAAATACTGACAAATCTTTTTAAACAAAGAGTAGTATGTAGAGCACTTAAGCTCAGAAAATACTGCACTAAGATGAAAAAATACAAATCTTACAGAATTTATCTTACGTTTTGGTGTGTCTGTATTAGTAGCTTGCGGTGGTGGTGGTGGAGGGGGTGGAGGAATAGGGGCAGCCATTGGTTCTGACTGAGGGGGTGAAAAACCAGGCCACTGTGGAGAAGGAAGTCCACGATCTTGTTGTCCTTTGGCCAATGAAAATACACAAATATGTCACAACCAATCAATAAATAAAAATTATGTTGTTATGTTCAGATAGTATTATAAAACAGGGCTTTAGAGAAACAGAATTACATACTTTGTCTTAGTACAAGGTTATAAAACAAAAATAAGGCTTTTAAATACTTAGCTTTACGATACAAGCCCCTAAAAATAAAATTAATACTTTAATATACTTACAACACAAAGTCCTAGAAACAGAATTAAGGCTTTTAAGTAATTAGACTTACAACACAAAGTTCTAGAAACAGAATTAAGGCTTTTAAGTAATTAGACTTACAACACAAAGTCCTAGAAACAGAATTAAGGCTTTTATATACTTACAACACAAAGTCCTAGAAACAGAATTAAGGCTTTTAAGTAATTAGACTTACAACACGAAGTCCTAGAAACAGAATTAAGGCTTTTAAACAATTAGTTTTACAAAGAATGACATAAAAACAGAATTAAGATTTTTTAAATACTTTGTCTTACATAGTTAAAGATTAAAATCACCAGATTCTGTGTAGTTAGGTAAGCAGAGACTGTACATTTTATTACTTCTGCCTGATTAACACTTATACAATTGAATTCTCTGCACTTGGTAAGCTAAGAGATCATACACTTCCTCTTATTTACTGTTGAAGACTAATATAACAAAATATCAAGTATTTGGGTAAGCTAAGAGAATGTAGGTTTCATCTAGTTTATGTTGAAGGCTAATATAACAAAATATCACGTATTTGGGTAAGCTAAGAGATCATACACTTCCTCTTATTTACTGTTGAAGGCTAATATAACAGGATTCAAAGTATTTGTGTAAGCTAAGTATGGGCAGTGTGGCTCAGTGGTTTCACGCTTTGGACTCATAGGGGGGAAGGTCACAGGCACTGCTAGGCACACAGGACTTTTGTCCTGATTCTTTTTGATAATGCCACAAATCCCCAGTTGGTGTCTTGAACAATCAGAAGAGAAAACTATGATTGATATCATAATGAAACGCTAAAAGTCCACCAGCCTTACATGCTTTGCAAAGGCATGGCAAAGATTTAACTTTTAAGGTACTGTACGTTTCATTTTATTTGTATTGAAGACCACAATAACTGGATTATGAGCATTTGGGAAAGTTAAAACACTGCACATTTAATTTTATTTGTGTTGGGGACCACAATAACTGGATTATGAGTAGTTGGATAAGCTAAAAGATTGCACATTTAATTTTATTTGTGTTGAAGACCACAATAACTGGATTATGAGTAGTTGGATAAGCTAAAAGACTGCACATATTATTTGTGTTGAAGACCACAATAACTGGATTATGAGCATCTGGATAAGCTAAAAGATTGCACATTTAATTTTATTTGTGTTGAAGACCACAATAACTGGATTATGAGTATTTGGATAAGCTAAAAGATTGCACATTTAATTTTATTTGTATTGAAGACCACAATAACTGGATTATGAGTAGTTGGATAAGCTAAAAGACTGCACATATTATTTGTGTTGAAGACCACAATAACTGGATTATGAGTAGTTGGATAAGCTAAAAGATTGAAAATATTATTTGTGTTGAAGGCTAATATCACCAAATTTGTACTTTAATACTGTATATATTACATGACTTAGGCTACAGGATAACTGAAGACTGTACGGACCATCTTCTTGAGGCTGTAGATCGAAATGGACAACTTGTTTAAGTCCATACATTAATATTGTATATCATAGAACTCATATGATATGGCAACTGAAAGACTTTATGAACTATCAGTTTCAAACTGTTTAACTGACATAAACTATGTGGACCACCTTCTTCAGGTTGTAGGTTAACTGACAGACTCTATGGACTACCTTCTTCAGACTATAGGTTAATTGACAGACTGCTTGGATCAACTTCTTCAGGCTGTAGGTTAACTAATAGACTATATGGACCACCTTCTTCAGGTTGTAGGTTATCTGATAGACTATATGGACCAACTTCTCCAGGCTGTAGGTTAACTAATAGACTATGTGGACCACATTCTTCAGACTGTAGGTTAACTGATAAACTATGTGGACCACCTTCTTCAGACTGTAGGTTAACTGATAGATTAAGCATGACCTGATTCATGTGTACATTAACATACAGATCTTATGTTCATTTTATTCAACACTTAAGTAAACTTGTATTATTTGATGCAAGTCAGAATCAGAAATGGATATTGGTTTTCAGACATGGAAGGATAGGATATGACACAGAAGATATTATTAAACAGTTATATGTCAGTACATGTTTTCTAAGTATGCATGAAAGACAGAAAACCTTGAGAAAATCAAACATTTTTTTAAATGTTTATATTAAAACAAAATCATAATAATACAACTACATTAAAATAATTTCCAGCAGGCTGGAACATATTTTACAGAAATGAATCCTAGTTTTGGTTTGACATATCTTAAAATTACTCTTAATGTAAAATACAAAAGTAAATACAAAAGCTGAAACATGAGATAAAATCTAATAACCAAGAAACGTTCTACTTACTTCCATCTTGATTGTCCGTTCTAGGTGGAGCGTAGTTAAAAGTAGAGTCTATCAGAGAGCAGAAAAACTATTCTGTTAACAGTTAATCACCATCACCAGAATCAAACCTAAAACCATGTCAGTTACCACATGCAAGAACATCACTGGTGTTGTAAAGGAAAACCATGTTTAGTATTAGTAAAAATAATGCCCTTAGCAACCAGTAGGTTAAAAATAAGTGTTATGGATACTGTACATGACATATAAAAACTACATATCACATGGTGTAAACTCACTCATAATTTATTAAGTTTTCTTTAATATTTACCTTTTTTATAGCTTTGTTTGTCATACTGACAATTTTCATCATCTCATATTATAACCGGATGTTGCTTTTTAAACCAGTTTGTTTTTATTTCTTAATAAATTCACACTAACTATCTGTACAGCAGAAAGGTATAATTCATTAAATTTATTTGTTGAGATAAATCACAGCAATCTCAAACGTTAATACATACAATTCTTGTGTGTGTTAGAAAAGCTTACTCATACATGGATGACAGAAAGTCACTTCAATGTTACATCAAGCAACAGTTCATAATAATTACCATACAGTAATAGGGTTAAAGGGAAAAGCACATGTAAATAGTATTGACCTGCAGGAGGTCACAAACAGAAGGAAGTAGAAATAGGTTAACATGAATAAATGTTACAGAAAAATTAATACCAACAACAGAAGAAAACAGTAATAACTTGAGCAGTAAATAATAATAAATAGAGACATATTCTTTGTTATGTAAAAGCTTTTATTGCAAGTTACAAGCCAGAAATTACCAACTTAGAATTACCTTTTTTTACTTTAAATTTAGTATAAAAACAAATAGTAAAATAAAATATGTAAATTACCATATTACACATTGTTTTGATGTAAGCACAACCTTACTGAATCAGATTATACAAAATAACATTTTCAAGTTTTCATTTCCAAAGTAGAACCTCAATGAATTAGATTATACAAAGATCAACTGAACATTTGATTTGTGATCTAATGTAAAGCAGAACCTCAATGAATTAGATTATACAAAGATCAACTGAACATTTGTCTAGTGTTCTAATGTAAAGTAGAACCTCAATGAATTAGATTATACAAAGATCAACTGAACATTTGTCTTGTGATCTAATGTAAAGTAGAACCTCAATGAATTAGATTATACAAAGATCAACTGAACATTTGTCTTGTGATCTAATGTAAAGTAGAACCTCAATGAATTAGATTATACAAGGATCAACTGAACATTTGTCTTGTGATCTAATGTAGAGTAGAACCTCAATGAATTAATTGTATTGAGTTCCACCATAAATATGATACGTAATCCAACAAAGCTTAAATGTGAAATAACCTTATTCCGATACAATATCTTACCTTCACTCAAGAAAAGATTTCTCGACTGTTGGTGCAAATTTTTCCTCACCAATAGCCTTAATACTCCCACTTATCTCTGCATACTAATATGTAAATGATTATATAAGCTACATATAAGCACATTCAATATTATTATCATTGTCCTGCTTTTACATAATCTTGCTTTTCACATGAGAATGATATAGGTTCAGGTTAATGCTACACGGGCCATAGAAGGAATTACTCCAGTGTAAGAATACTGAAACCTAGACTTACAAGGAACAGACTCCTATTTCTCTTCAGGGGTAGACATATCTCAGAACCACTTTGATAATTATTAGTTGTCCTTTTGTGTTTACTGTCATATGATTAGTTAATTACAGAGGTTATGATCTCCTCGATCCTGCTAGTATTACAATCCTATCTAGTATACAATTTTGAGAGGACCTAGCAAAGATTAGATTCCTGATGATGAGATTAAATACTTGCTTAATTCCTTAATTGCTTGATTCCAAAAACATTTACCATGAATCCTGTCCTTTGGATTCTTTTAGGATCAAACTTTTGTACTATGAAAGTCACCAAATATTTCTATACTTTGATCCTAAAACACCATACCCTGGTTTAAATGTGGTTTCATCCCAAAAACATAGGATAAATTCTTTGTAAGTAGATAAGAAGTATCAGAATAGGTTGTGTATCAACAGAAACTCAGATGCATTAATAGCTACACATAGACTAATAAAAGCTTATATACATAAATCAACATGTTTAGGAAAGTGAAATGAAATTATCTGTACAAAACATAATCTCTTCCAATACAGCTATATTATGTTTTTTGTTTTGAAACATTTCTTTTCAACTTAATAAGTGTATCAATATAAGAGATTATTTCTTCCTTTTTTAAAGAATATACATAAGAAACAAAGCTTAATGCTGTACGAAACATTGTTAATAATACAAGTATAAAACAACTATTACAGAATGTACATTAACAATTCCAACTGGTAGTTTACAACAGTGATTCTCAAACTTTATCCCTGGATGATTTTGTAAAATCTGTGTAAAAACCTTACAGACTGTTAGGACTACAGGCCTATACTACAATATATAACTTTTAAATATGAATTATACAGTACGTAAAAAAGTAAACAGAGCTACAAAAATAACTATGAAAGGTTTTAGAACTTTAATAATATTTACAAAGACAAAATTAGATTCACTGGATGTTTCTTCACACCAGTGGTTTCCAATCAGTGATTTAAAATATAAGTATGTAATATATAATAACGTTAACAAAATATAATAGTTATATTTCTCTTTTGAGTTTTAACACAGAAAGACTCATTTACAGCAGATATATAGACAATGGATGTTTTTATACAAGTTGCTGTATTTTACCGCTTTTAGTAGATCTGTAGACAGTGGATGTTTTTATACAAGTTGCTATATTTTACCGCTTTTAGTGGATCTGTAGACAGTGGATGTTTTTATACAAGTTGCTGTATTTTACCGCTTTTAGTGGATCTGTAGACAGATGATGTTTTTATACAAGTTATTGTATTTTACCACTTTTAGTGGATCTGTAGACAGTGGATGTTTTTATACAAGTTGCTGTATTTTACCGCTTTTAGTGGATCTGTAGACAGATGATGTTTTTATACAAGTTATTGTATTTTACCGCTTTTAAAGGATCTGTAGACAGCGGATGTTTTTATACAAGTTGCTGTATTTTACCGCTTTTAGTGGATCTGTAGACAGCGGATGTTTTTATACAAGTTATTGTATTTTACCACTTTTAAAGGATCTGTAGACAGCGGATGTTTTTGAAACAAGTTGCTGTATTTTACTGCTTTTAGTGAATCTGTACGTAATGTATGTTTTTATACAAGTTATTGTATTTTACCGCTTTTAGCAGATCTGTAGACAATAGACGTTTTTGGTACTAGTTTACATCACATTTGATTTCAGAAAGCTGTCTGAATGTACTTTATTTACAACACAACCACATTAACCCAGAATTTCTGTATTATAAAAAATACATTAATGGTTAGTCCTTGGTCACACTATCCAGCTCTACAATGTTTGACAAATATACGAACTGTTTTGTTTCGATCTCAGTTATTTTTTGAATTATGAAACAATGTTTTAAATGTACAAGTCTTTGTGATGCTAGAACTGTTGTCATATTTTTCAGTTCTCTAAACACTCCAGAAAGAATGTTTGGAATGCCATTTTAGGTCCCACACTCCAGAAAGGTGTTTGAAATGCCATTTCAGGTTCCACACTCCAGAAAGATGTTTGAAATGTCATTTTAGGTTCAATACTCCTGTAGGCATGTTTGTAATGACATTTTTATGGTAATCTTCCTTATCTTGATTTTCATCACATAAGAAACATTTTCCTTTGGTGAAACCATAAAGAAAAGCACCAATAATAAAAAGCATATTTCCTTGTAGTATTTCATTTTTAGTAGGAAAATCAATTTTTCACTACATTTAATTTCTTTAAGACAGTAAATTAAGACAATCTAAGGTGAATTAACACACTTCTTTGAAGTAAGAACAATCACATGGTGAAACACAGAAGAACAAACATGGGAAATGCAGGCAAGCCACAGGGTTTTCAAAGCAATCAGAAATAGCGAAATTCACCTTTCTTGCCCATCATTTCTCTTTGAATCCAGTCAGATGGTAGTGGAGTGGGGATTGAGTGCTGTTGAGGACCTCGATAAGAAAGTGGACTAGAACCACCATAGTCTGTCCTGTCTTGAACTAGTGAAGATCCACTCTGTAAAGTGAAAATATTAAAAACAACATGGGCAGACACTTTCATATGTTAAAATAATTTCCAAATGCTCCATAGTAATTTACTCATCAAATCCTGATACAAAGTTTAAAACTTTACACTTGAGAGTAATGAAATGAAAAACAACTTGAAATAAACTTTACCTTGTACCAGTGTTTTGATTTTAATGTTTTTAGCTCATACTGAAGTCTTAATATCATTTTATAGAAAACTTAGGACCATTATTTTCAGAAAGCAAGATTAATCTGTTTTTATATGCTTTGTACATTTCTATACTCTTGGTCTGATATACATCAAAAGTTCAAAATATACAAAAATACACTGTTCCACCAATATTTAAAATACACAATAACTCCAATGTTAGTCAGGTTCCACATGTAAAGTATAATATACTGTTCACCATGGCTTACATATGGAATATACAACACCATAAAAGTCTAACACACACATAATACAGCAGTAAAACAACACTGTAATAATTAAATATTTACTGTTTATACCTTTAATACCATTCAGATATTAGAGAAACTGCAACTTACAGAATTGTAGTAGTTATTTTGACTTGGCCCAGGACGGTAGTAAGGTGGGTTGCTAAAGACCTCCTCATCAGGAGGTGGTCCCTGATAATACGTTACAATAGTACTTGGTACATATCCAATTTGTCCACGTGCATTCCTTGCTCTCCACCATTTTCTGCTATCATCTAGGAGCTGAAAGACCCATAAAGCAGAACATCAGATGTATTAATTCTTAGTTAAGCAGCAAACTTTAAGTTACCCAATCTAGTACAGCAATTTATTTTTTATTTTTGCTAAGGTACTTTATAGATTAGCAGTTATGTGTTGACAAATTGGCTGCTAAGGTACTTTAAAGACTAGTGGTTATGTGTTGACAAAT